TTATATCGGGTGTTGTAGCATGTATATTTTATATTTGTAGCATGTATATTTTATATCGGGTGTTGTAGCATGTATATTTTATATTGGGTGTTGTAGCATGTATATTTTATATCGGGTGTTGTAGCATGTGTAACTTAATGTAAATCGCAAATGTTACATAATCAGAAGCATTACACCATCAGATTGCAATGATAAAAGAATTTGAAAATTAGAGTTTTAAAAAGTAAAAGCTCACATGCAGTTGTCCAACGAAGTGTGTTACAGTCATCATTTCTAGGGCTACAAGAAAATGTACTTTAGTTAGTGAGCTCTCGACTAAGATGTCGGTGCGTTTTGCTGTAATTTGCAGTACACTGATCGAAGATATAGTTGCATTTAGAGGAGAGTGAGTGAGATAAAATCTAAGGCGTTGTGACACTTTAAAGTTGACCTAGTCTTGAAAAATTAAAGCAAATTTTCATAGCAGCCAAAATCTATGTATATAATTTATATGACCAACCAATTAAAATTTAAAATCTTAGATATTTGTAAGCCGAAAACCCGCAGTGAAGAAAAATATGGGGGGAGCAGAGGGTTTAAATATGATGTATAATTGTTATTCATTATTCTTGTCAATTTTATTATTTTGAAACCAATTAAAAAGCATGACGAAAATTAATGCATGTTTGATGATTATTTGTAAAAACTTCTAATAAACATGATACCTTTTCAAGCATAAAATGATAAAAATGATTGATCCAGTATTTTTTCTATTTTTTATCAATTAAAAATGTGTTTATGTCAATCATATTGAACTGCTTTGATTTGACAAGTTCAGTCGACCAAAATGTAAAAACCAGAGTTTGCATTTTTATGCAACTTTTGTAGAACTTCAAGTATTTGTATTATTTAGATTAAAAAAGATTCTTGAAACCAAGCAATTTACTTATAATAAATGGCATTTCAAATTGTATCATTTAAGGTTTTGGGAAGAATTGTAGGAATTGGTGAAAGTAAAAATAAAGATCCTAGCAATGTTGCTCGTTTTAAATACCAACGAAACATAATAATAAATCTGTACAACCCAATTAATGCAATAATTTGTAAACTTTGGATTAAATAAATTAGCAGAAATATAAACTTAGAATCAAAAATATGTTGAAAAACTATTTGTTTCATACGTTGCAGTACACTTTTGGTTACTGCGATTTGTTTCTTTTATTCTAAAAACTACAGTGCACCTCAGCAGATACCTTAAACCTAATTTTGAAATTTTTTTTCTCAGATTAAGATGATTAGTTGTATTCTGGAGGCAATTATAAACAACTTAATGACATGTGGCGGAACTCTTTTCTCTTTTCTCATAATAGTGAAGAATATTTTGTTCATTTCCGTAAATTCTGTTTTAATGAAACGATAGTAAAAAAAAACACAATATCTTGCGGATTTTTCCTCCTTGAAGGAAATTTTGAAGGCTTGATGGTTTGATGATTTGATGGTTAAGCTAAGAAAATACGAAAAAGGAAGAAAAAAATGTTTATACTCGCTTTACAATATACGGAAAGTGTATGAAGGATATATATGTTAAAATTAGATTAATATTTTTTTTTCTACAAAATATCCATTCTCGGTGGTCCAGTCCCAATAATGCACATTATCCTCCAAATTCTTGAAAACTTTTTACGAGATTTAATTTGGTTCAATATATATATATACATGTTTATATATTTATATATTTAAACTGCACATATATTGCAAATATATTGCACAAAGGTCGTGATCTTGCAATTAAATATGTTTACCTGGATATATATTATACACAATAACTAAATTGAACACCACTCCTTGTTTCCAGGTCTTAGATTCAACCAGTACAGTGAGACCCATAAAACTGTTGAGCAGGAAGACGACAGTGGGCAATCTTGATTTATATTTTATGTTGGCATTAAGTGTTATTCTTTGATGAAACTCACAAATAGATCCAGATTGCGTTAATATTAAAGACTTGGGTTGACTTGGCCTTTAAATTTACCTGACAAACTCACTTACATCTTTTTATAGCACTAAACATGTACATTTTAGAACTATTTTTTGCATAAAGTATAATTTGGAAAGTTTTAATCGCAGAGTGAGAGGGTAGGATTTATTTGGCGTACAGTTCCGTTTTGCCTCATCTAGACTTCTTTGTACTGAAAAGCTTGTTCTAGTTCTATTGAAAATCGGCCCGGTACATTATCTGAACCGGTAGTCAAGTGCACAAACCCTATCCCCCTTTTTTAGTATTAATACCTTGGAGTCAATACTGTTTCTGGCAATAGGCAAAAAATCATGATGATAATAATATTTTGATTTGATTGTGCAGTGTGCACACCTAAACTTGAAGAGCCCGGAGCCATTGAGGATACTTTGTAAAGAATCAAAATATTTACTTTTTAGTCACCAGAGCAGGGTGTGGTAATGAGAATAAAGTAGTTAACTTAATTTTCAGTACTCTTTATAGTCTGCATTTTAAGGGGGTCATTTTAAGCCATATGCGGCACTTTTAAAATGATAGATTATTTAAAAAAATAATCGGAAAAGCTAGTTAATCGAAATCTAACATATCCTTAAAAATCTGGCACAAATTGTGTTCGGTATTTTAAACAAAACGATAGAATTTCCGCTCAAACTTCGCTGCCATTAAAACATTCTTCGTGCAACCCTAAAAATGTTTGTGGATAGGTGTGTTTGCCCTGAAAATGCTTATAAATATGCTTGTTTGCCATAAAAATATTTGTGGATGTGGTGTGTTTGTCATGAAAATGTTTGCGGATATGCTTGCTTGTCATAAAAATGTTTGCAGATATGTTTGTTTGTCATGAAAATAATTGTGGATTTTCTTGTTTGTCATGAAAATGCTAATGAATATGCTTGTTTATCACAAAAATGTTTGCGGATTGGTGTGTTTGTCGTGAAAATGTTTACGGATATTTACGTGTGTTTGTCATGAAAATGTCTGCGGATATGTTTGTTTGTTTGAGTATGCCGACTAGGGGAGATAGACTAAGTATGGATAATCATTCATAATTTTGTCGAATACATGGGTTACATGTCCCACTGGTAAACCACAGTGTATAGTTTAGGCATGTTTTATACTTAACCAGGTTTCAAATAATTTCCCTTAGACCAATCAATCAATCAATCAACCCACCAATTCTCTAAAACCATTTGTCACTTTGATGCTTCTTGTAAATTGATATTTTTATAACTATATATCATTAGATCATGTCATTACATATTTTTTCAGAATAACGTGTTTTCAGTCATGTTACCAAGTAATATTTTTCTTTATGTTCTTGACTTTTATTAATACTAGATTGGAAACCCAGCTTTGCTTGGAAACTAAACTGAGAACAATCTTGTGTTTCTGCCGAGTTACCCAATCAAAATTTGAGACAAATCGGTCCAGGGGTTCCTGAGTTATAATCAGACATCAGACAGACAAAGCGAGAATGTTTCTTTATATTTTACTAGCTTGGGGACCCAGTTTTGCCTGGACCCTAATTTTTCCCTATAAAGTCAACCCACTCAACTTAGCTTTTTAAAAGAACATCCCAGGGTTCTCCCGAGTTCCTTAATCAAAGTTTGAGGCAAATTGGTGAAGAGGTTTATTATTTCTAATCGAACATCCGAACAGAGATTACTACTTTATATAAATGGATGCTTTTCTTATCATTTGGGTCCCGTCTCCAACATAATTCCGTGACATGCGCTTTACATGTCTCTCTGTTTGACATGCTCTCAACATGTTTCTAATCTGTTTCCGTGACATGCTCTCAACATGTTTCTAATCTGTTTGACATGTTCTCAACATGTTTCTAATCTGTTTCCGTGACATGCTCTCTACATGTTTCTAATCTGTTTCTGTGACATGCTCTCTACATGTTTCAAATTCTGTTTCCGTGACATGCTCTCTAAATGTTTCTAATCTGTTTCCGTGACATGCTCTCTACATGTTTATTTTTTGTTTCCGTGACATGCTTTCTACACGTTTTAAATCAGTTTCAGTGACATGCTCCCTCTCTGTTCTCTGTATTTCTTATCTGTTTAAATGACATGCTCCCTCCTCACATATTTCTCCTATATTACGGTGACTTGTTCTCATGTTTGACCCAGAATATATCCTGCATGCATAATTTTCCTAAAAAAGGAAAATGCGGGGGAAGTGATTTTAATAAACGGTTTGTAAGGGGCATGGCTGCCCACCTTAAAGGGACTCTCGACAAAACTTTAAGAAACCCTGTATTTAAAGAGGTTCTTTCAGAATTCAAAACACGCTACAATAGATATCGTCGATTTTCTTTCTTGATAATGGATAAATTTAGTCAATTTCCTTCCTTGGTTCTGCTGCATTGATTCGCATTCTGCCAGGAAACTGTAATGGAAGTACGTCGACAGTTTCTTTAAAATCTGTGAGGGTAGAAGGGTATAAGGCTGACTGAATTTAAAAGAAAATCAGAAAAATATTTTTTTTTACTATCCTAACTAATTTGTTTTGTGGTTATGAATTGGCTTAATAAAGGATGAATATAACTAATCTCTCTCTAATTACATTTATTATCTGTAATTAATTATATTTTTAATGATCCCCCTGCTCCAGGATGATTAGTCAATTAGCGCCTGGACACAACATGCGTATATAATTTAACTAGTTACCCTCGTCATCTATCTATCTATCTATCTATCTATCTATCTATCTATCTATCTATCTATCTATCTATCTATCTATCTATCTATCTATCTATCTATCTATCTATCTATCTATCTATCTATCCATCTATCTATCTATCTATCTATCTATCTATAATTCTATAATATCTCTGTGATGCACTCTAATGTGGATGTTTATAAACGTGAGTTACATGATTGAAATAATGAATATAAAGAGTCAGAATGAGAGTTTGATAACTCACCACAAATCAATTTAAACGCTATTTTTATTGAATTACAAAAAAAAATATTAATGATTTTTTTTCAGATTTATTTTATAAAATGTGATCTGTCTGTGAATAAAGATAAACTAAAAGGTGAAATTAAAAATTAAGAACGCTAAATATGGTAAAGAAGGGATTAAAGGAGATGAACTAAACTAGGAGGAATCTTCAGAAGCTAAGAATGAGAAGGGACAGGACGGATATGATTCTCCTGGTTCTCCTGGTTGGGCTTATTCAGCCGGGTAGAGTAACCTCCTTTGGTCTAACTACATACGGAGAACAATGTTTAGGTGAGTGAAAACCAATCTTGATTGTCGTCTTTGCTCTCTCATTAGCAGTACAATTTAAAATGTGAACATATAAAGTGATAATAGAAAGAAATATAATATTCTATTTTTAATAAAAAGAAAAAGCGAGACAATATTTGCCTATTTATTCTGCCACATTTTCAATGTTTCTTTTACTCTCTGAAAAATGTTAACAAATAGAAATTAATTTAATTCTAATTTAATCCCATCAGTTACATTGATTCTAATTTAATCCCATCAGTTACATTGATTCTAATTTAATCCCATCAGTTACATTGATTCTAATTTAATCCCATTAGCTACATTGATTTTAATTTAATCCCATCAGTTACATTGATTCTAATTTAATCCCATCAGTTACATTGATTCTAATTTAATCCCATAAGTTACATTGATTCTAATTTTTCTGAGAGTAAATGACATTTCTTTGTTAAGAGATGATTTTAACATGAACCTGCATATAAGTTTTTAGATTAGCGAAATTCAATGAAAATTACTGAACACACAAAAAAACAGAATTTTATAATGGAATTGTTAAAATTGGTAATGTATAAATGTGCCCAATATAAACTTTATTGGTTTATTTTGAATGAATTTACAAACCAAAACCGGTGATTTTGCTTAAAAGGACGCCTAGGAACATAAAGAAATAAAAAAACAGTCACATCTTTAAACTTTATTGATATTAGAATAAAATATGATTAATTGATATTTTCTGATTAGTTAATGATTTATGATGTGAATTCGAATTGAGTTGTAATAAATCATTCACTAAACTAAAATCTAAAAAAGCAATTGAGTCTTTGCCACAAACTATGATTTGCTAATCCCTATATGTGTTTTACTCTATTCCTTTGTTCAAATTAGTTCAACGCAGCGCGCACTGATTTAACAGAAATAATGATTTTATTAGGCTTTAGTTTTTAGATGCAAAACTAAAGAAGATATAGAAATAGTTGTACTTATGAAGTAATTTGAAGTGACCCTTCATAGTGGAAACCTGAAAAGCTTTGCCTGATAAAGAATGAATGAGATATCCATGATTTCTCTTTAAAAGTTTTCAAATATTGGTTCTTTATAAAAGTTTAAGGAGTTGTGAAAATTAAACACTTTCTAGTGTAACTATGATATCTTCCAAATTATTGACCAGATGAAGGTTTAATGGGATAGTATCTATTTTTTTTAAAACAATTTTATTTTTAGATGCTTGCAGTCAGAGAGGGTTTCCTTTCGCTTGGTGCCATAAACAGAAATCTCATAATGGAACTTTTATAGGTAACTAACTCCCCCCATATAAAGGAAAACACTTGACTTTTGTATAAATGGGGAAATATCGCGAACTTTTTTCTTTTTAATGAAGAATTTCTGTACTTTTGTCATTGATAATACCAATATAATTACCTTTTTTCAAGACAATGAAGATTTCTATGCAATTTCATTTTATTGATATAATTATATGTTTATGAATATTTTTCATTTTTTTTGGGTATATTTATATTTTTTGTTGGTATAGTGAATACGTTTTCTCATTTCATTCAGAACGACGATCGCCTTTATTTGTACAGATTTCTGTTCTTTATTACATAAAATATTTCTGTTTTTATTTACATAAAATATTTCTGTTTTTATTACATAAAATATTTCTGTTTTTTATTACATAAAATATTTATGAAAAATCAAGGAATCTATTAAATTGCTATTTATAGTTTTCCCAACAGATTTTTAAATGAAACAAAAAAAGATATTTTATATTTCTTTTGTAAATAAAATTGAAAAGAGATGAACCCAAGAATGCCTTGAAATCCTCCCTAGCTCCTCTGTAATCAATATTCTTATTGAAAATTGAAGGTCTAAACACAGCTGGAATAATCATTACGGTCCTCATCAATTTTTCAACAAATTTTTCAAGTTCGAAATTCTTAAACCACGCAATTCTTCAACCCCAGGCCCTACAGACACCAACTCATCAATTTGGGAACAGAACTTATGACATTTTATCTTGAAATCGATAAATTATAATTTTTGTCTGCAATTATTCATTCAGAATATGGCCGACGATTTATTTTCGTGTTGACCATGGAATGTTAATACGTAATGTTAATACATGTCCTGCTGTTATGAGGGGGGATATGGCCCCGCCAGCCCACCCCCTCCCAAATCGCTTTATTCATCATCAAATTAATTCCGCGGGGTTTTTACGGGGTTACCGTCCCTAAGCAATATCAAAGCTGCACCCTTTTTTAAAGGCTATCTGTCTAGCTATCTAGCTATCCGTCTATCCGTCTATCTGTCTAGCTATCTGTCTATCTGTCTATCTGTTTATCTGTCTATCTGTCTATCTGTCTATCTTTCTATCTGTCTATCTGTCTATCTGTCTATCTGTCTATCTGTTTATCTGTCTATCTAGCTATCCGTTTATCTGTCTATCTTTCTATCTGTCTATCTGTCTATCTGTTTATCTTTCTATCAGTCTATCTTTCTATCTGTCTATCTGTCTATCTGTCTATTTGTATATCTGTATATCTGTCTATCTGTTTATCTGTCTATCTGTATATCTGTCTAACTGTCTAACTGTCTATCTTTCTATCTGTCTATCTGTCTATCTGTCTATCTGTCTGTCTGTCTATCTGTCTATCTGTCTATCTATCTATCTGTCTATCTGTCTGTCTGTCTATCTGTCTATCTGTCTATATATCTATCTGTCTATCTATCTATCTGTCTATTTGTCTTTGAAACTTATCCTCTTTACAAACCAAATATAATTCAAACGCTAATTTAAGTTTTTATAAAGTTTCCCTTAATTTCTGGCTGATGAATAAAATAACAGAATGCTGTGTTTCTAATATCATAGATCTATGACAGTGATTAAAAGATTAGAGTTTTGTTTCGTTTTGTGTTGAATAGTTTTCATCAAAATTGCTCTGATTTTCCAATAAATCTTATTTAAAGGGACTGTACCGAAATTTCAAGTGACCCTCTAGGCAATGAAACCTTTATCTGATTAACAATGTTGATGATCTTATAAATGATAAAGCTTTAAATTGGTTGAGAACCGGATATTGGCATATTTGCATTGAGGGTCACTTGAAATTACGCTTACAGTCCCTATGTACTCATAAAATATTCTAAAATGATCCTAAAATGTTTGTTTGAAAATAAAAAAAAAAACTGTAGAATAATTACTTCTAAATTTAAACTTACGTTATAGTTTGAATTTCCGGAAATTATCATCATTGCGTCATTTTGGCAGAGATCTAACGTTAAAGAATAAATCTATACCAGGTTTTTTAGAATTATAAACTGTTGAAATTTTACAGCGGTTTGTTCAGAAGTACACTTTACACATACATGAAAAGAAAGTATTTATAAGACGAAAAATAATTAGTACTTTCCATGCCATCCTTTCTTAATTTTACCAGTTATGGATTAATCTGGTATTGTTCGTGGATTTCTTCATTGAAGATATTAACATTATATGCTTTATATTCACTATAGTTCAGCCTGCCTTATTCTATTGGGTCAACTACTCACTTACTGGGTACAATAGACGGGGCGGTACGGCAAAGACTAGACCAGCAACTTTAAAACTTATTTACTATTCTAGATCGAGATTACTGCAGTCCTGTGTACGGTACAACAAGATATTTGGAGACATGTACAGATTCATGTGAGAGACGAGATGGAAAACCTTTTTATTGGTGTCATACTTACACTACATCAAGGTACAGATAGAAAGATAGAAATATAAATAGATAAATAGATATATACATGTAATAGATAGATAAATAGATATTTAGATAGATAGATAGATAGATAAATAGATATATACATGTAATAGATAGATAGAAGGATAGATGGATAGATGGATGGATGGATGGCTGGATATATAGATAGATAGATAGATAGATAGATAGATAGATAGATAGATAGATAGATAGATAGATAGATAGATAGATAGATAGATAGATAGATAGATAGATTAGATAGATAGATAGATAGATAGATAGATAGATAGATAGATAGATAGATAGATAGATAGATAGATAGATGTTTGAATGGTTAATAACTGGACAAAATAAGGTATAAATGGATATCTTTATACTCTGCGCAGTCATATTAGACATCTACTAAATATACAACTTATCTTAGATTCGTATCTCTCCATGAGTCCATGGATTGCTTATACTGATTTAAAGCTTGACTATTGACCTCCTCCCCCCCCCTCACTCCCCCCCTCACTCTTTGAACATTTACAGCTTTGGGTCAGTTCATTACTATCGTTAATGTCCATGCGTACCAAATAAAACATGTCACAAAAACACATTTTTAAAGAATGTTGAAAAAATCTCAAGCAAATTGGTTTAACAAGAAAAATTAACTGTCTGTAAAAGGGTTGCAAACATATTTGAACAAATGCCTTTTTTTGTTGTAAGAAACAGGGAGGTTCGGTAATTTTCAATAATAACTCCTCTTATTCAAAAGTTTCTAAGAAGAGTAAAAACAAATATATTTTGAATTTAAAATATGTAACCGGAGCTGAAAACTTTAAAATGGGATATCCTTAATCCCAAGCGATTAATTAATCTGGAGATTAATTACAAGAAGAGCACAAGGATTATTTAATCTGGAGATTAAGAAAAAGAGGAGATCAAGCATTGATCTCGAAACTTACCATTCTAAAGTTTTCAGCTCTGATAAATTTTCTGTGTTCAAATATATCACAATTAAAGGTGTACCAGTAATGTCGCACAAATTTAATCTTCTCATTCTTTCTAGTTCACAATGATTTTACAAGATAATAATTTTTTTCCTCTAAGAAACATTACTTTGTTGCAATTCTTATTCTAGATAAGTTCTCTTTGCAAACAGAAAATTAAGATCTAAATACAATTTGGCGTTTTTCCTCCCAAGCGACCTTGATATTTCTAACCCCCCTAAAATTAAGTTTTACAACAATAAATTAGTTAGTACACACTATACACGCATAAACATTTTACATTGAAAAGTATATCCTCTAAACTAAATTTGACTGCCTGTAATTAGGCCAAAAGAAGAAAACTGCCTAATTGTGGCATGCAAAGGTTAAGAAATTATGGAAACAAATTTAGTTAACATTTTTTATCGTTATAAACTTGCGCGGTATACTTATCTATTTACATTTCAAACCGAGAAGCTTTGTAGCTATTTATGGTTGCTGCTAAATTACTGCTACATCTTTGTGATTTTATAATTATCTGGTCAGAGTTCAGAAATTCAAAACTTTTTTTTAAAATGGAAAGCATGTAAGATTCTTTCTAACGTGTAAAAATTCTTGTTACTTGCAACAAACTCAAATATTTTTTACAACCTGGGCTCCACTTTTACAAAAAAAAGAATTTTGCAAATATTTTTTAAATTAAAATAATTTTTTAAAAACTTTTTAACCTAAACTACATAAATACTTTCATTGTTGTTCCATCAACATTTCTTTGTGACAATTTCACTTCTTTGCTTAATTTGTTTTGAAAATAAAAAATGGCAATTTTCTGGAAGATGACTTGACCGTTTAATTTCCCGTGGGCCTGAGGGAACCCGGGTTTGACCGTTTAATAAATGAATTCCATCACAGCTCTGCTGAGGTGAATAATAATGATTAGTCAATAAAAAATCTTGCCCCCAGCAAACATAAGGCGCAGCAGACGCGCATCCTGGGGGAAAACGCGCGTAAGGTGTGGCACAGGAAGAATAAGAAGTGTGCTCAACAAAAAATGGCGAAGACCATTAAGTCATTTTAAGTAGAGGAACAAAACTAAAAGAAAACAGAATTTATATCAAACATATTTTGGCATTAAAGATGTTCAGATCTTAATCCTGATCGCTTGAACTCGATATCCACAGTGAGTGGAGACTTCTAATTTTAGAGTCTATAAAGCAATTCTTTCCCATGTTTATCTAAGTTATACCATACCTCCCATGATTAAAGCTCCTCTCAGGTACAATTACCAAGCAGGATATCGAAGAAAGATTCGAAGGGGTAAAGGGTAAGCCTAAGGAGAAAGGTGAGCCCGGAGGTAAAGGGTAGGCCTAAGGAAGAGAGTGGGCCTATTGGAGGGGCCGTGGGGTAAAGGGTAGGCCTAAGGCGGAGAGTGGGCCTGGGGGGGCCGGGGGGAATCAAAGTATGAGGAGGGGAAGATATTATTCTAGTTGGGGGTCACTAAAAGGTTAAGATGACCACCAAGTGAACCTATATAAGTATATATAAGTATATATAAGTATATACTGTATAGTAGATATACACTATTACAGAGTACACAGGGACCGAAACAAATCATAATAAATTGTGCAGATAGCACATCAAACACAGATAGATTGATAGATAGATAGATAGATAGATATAAAGATAGATAGATAGATGAAAGATAGATAAATAGATAGTTAAATAGAAAGATAGATAAATAGATAGATAGATAGATAGATAGCTAGATAGATAGATAGATAGATAGATAGACAACTAGATGAAAAGATAGATATATAGATAGATAGATTAGTCTTGAGCCAAAAAAACTAAGCCTTTTATCATTAAAATACAGTAGATTTTATGTACGATGGCTTTTAACAATTTAAATAAGAGATGATTTTTCAATTTTACAAATACATGATTATTGTACTAGTTATGGGAGTCTTCTTTTATGTCATTTTACCTATTTACATAAAGATTAGTATACAGTGACAATGAGAATGCAGAATGCATATTGCACAATTATGTTCAGAAAAATGAAGTATTGAAGAATAACGATATTGTGTCTCAAGCAAAATAATATTTTTTTTCAAGAAATTTTTTTTAGCAAAATTTGTGAGAGAAGTATTTTCAGGAATTGATCTTGATATGAAGATTTAAACCCTGTAGTTGCTTCTAGCTTCTCAATAGGAAATTTACAAAGGAATTGAGTTTTGCCACAAACTCTGAATTTCTATTCCCTGCACCCTTGTCGTAGACCTTGGTTTTTTCAAACTATGAATTCTGTTAGATCAAATAGTCTAAGTTTGAAATATCAAAGGTTTACCTCATCAGGTTGTAAAGATAAAGGGATTAGAAAATTTGAGTTTGTGGCCGAAAACTCAATTCCTTTCTAATGGATTTTCTCATAATAGTATGAATATTTTAATTAATAGTTTACTTTCCGAAATGAACTTTCTTAAACAATTCTATTCTTTCATTTTCTCAGATTTTAGTTAAATACTTAATCCCAGCAAAATCCATGAGGCCGAATTTAAAGAATTTGAGCCGCGGCTTAAAATTAAGAGGCGTCTCAAACATGGTTGGTTCCACTTAAAATTGTATTCAATGTTTCAAGATTTAAGCCGGCGCTCAATTGAAAACCGGTTTTTGGCGAATTTGAGACGCGGCTCAAATTCATTAAATTCGGACTGTGATTTTGCAATTTAGCTGATTTCTCAAGATCTCTAAATTTTATCCTTCTTTAATACAGTGAAACCCTTATTAACGAATACATCAGAAAAATTTATCAAATATCCTCTTGACAATTTTTCAATGAGTTTTATACTATATTACGTAAATTTTAGTATTTGCGAAAATAGATAAAAAGCCATGGAATATGCGGGAACAGTTTTAAAATGCTCTATATAATTATTTAATTTAAAAACTAAATATCTGCAACATTCCATTAACAGAAAGTGAAGAATACGACATTTTATGAGTTCTTTTGATGTATTCGTTATTAAGGGTTACACTGTATTAAATCAGTACGATTCTCATCTACAATCAAATAGGTTAATTTCACCCTCTTTTCATTAATAATGTTCTCTCATTTTAGTAGAAATAGAGAGAAAACTTTGCTATCCCCCCCCCCCCCCCCGTTAATCTACAGGGTGTCCCAATGACAATATAGGAATCTATGAACTTTTATAGGATTTTTTTATGATAAAAAGCAGCCTTTTACATTTTTTATGAAATTGTTCATATCTTCTACCAAACTTTAGATATTATATATTACAATGCAAGTTTCACTGCACTCCACTCCCATGTTTATTTGGACACCCTGTACTATTTTCCCATGTTTATTTGGACACCCTGTATACTCGAATATGATCAGTCAACTTCCAATTATCGTTTCATGATTTATCATTTCATTAATTCTTCCGTTGATAATTTCAGTTTCAATTTATCCATATATTATATGATTGTTAGATATGTTTATAGAAATAAATATTAGATATTGATGAAGTAATTAAACTAATGAATTAAGCTCAGCAAATAAAGGGTTTGTTGGATAAATTATCTAGTTTAAAGGCACAGCTGACCAAACTCTTATCTTTAGAGGAGACTGGGATTACTGCTCCCCGTTCCTTGATGATTTCTGTTCCTGGGGGACCTGGAGTTCCTGGGGACACTGTTCCACAACCTGTGGAGCTGGAACTATGGCTAGAAGGTAGAACACGCTATAATGGCTAATCAGAGTTTAAATACGACTTTGAAACTTGGGTTTCCAGAGAAAGAAAACTTCCGCGGAATAAATGAGGAATTTCGCAAAAATTTTCTTCCGATTTCGCAAACTTTTTTGCGAAAATTAATTTTGCGAAAGGAAGCGAAAACTATGCGGAATTTCGTGGAAAACTAAACAAAATATGCGACAATTTTGCAAAAAATAGTGAAAGGTTTCGTTTTCTTTGCAAAATTAAGCATTAATCTGTATCGCGAAAAAATGCTAGAATTTCGCGAAACCAAAAAGAATTTTTTTTAACCACTCTTTGGTATAAAAACTTGATAATATACGATATAGGGTTTCTAGCAAAATGGGGAAATTGTTTCGCAAAAATTTTGAATTTTCGGCGAAAAAAAATTGTCCGTGAAAAATGCGAAATTTTTGCTAAACAATTCCCCCATTTCGCTGGAAACTCTATTTGTAACCTATCTAGAGTGGTTAAAAAAATGTTGCCAAGAGCTCTCAATACAAAGGAGTTTTGTTAGAAATCAGATTTCAATTTGAAGAGAATTCTATTGCAATTTGATTTAGTTGAATAGGAAATAATATTAATGATACTAAAGAAATGTACATTATTTTTTTTTTAAATCTAAATATTTATTGTCTTTTTAAATTGTACAAAATAGTTTACGTGGAATCGACAAATTCGTTTACATTTTTTTAGATTTGTGAAATAAATACAAAATTGTTTATATGTGTTTACATTTTTTTTTTGATAGATCTGTATAAGGGTTAAATACGTACATTTCTTAAATTAGAAATTTGGACTTAAGGATACTTGGATCCTGCAAGACATATAAATTGAAGAGTGCAACAGTGAAGTCGTAGAGAATTAAATGCATATAATAAGTCATTGACGATAAGAGGGTATGCGAATAGAATAGAATAGAAATGTTCATTATTAGGAGGCGTGTAGAAGGATCTGATGGCAGGGTAGGAAAATGTTCTGGTGAAACTGAAGTAATGTACCAGGGTTGCCAGGATAAAGAATGCTCAGGTTAGAAAATTTTTAAACACTTTGTTTCTTTCTTTATTCATTGATTAAAATGGTTAAAAATGCTTTACACCGAAGAAAATAGATTCAATTCGGGGAATAGCAAAAATTATAGGGGTTCGTTAATTTTTCGCGAACACTTCCTTTAAGATTTTCCTCAAATGTGTTCATCAATTTAGATCTTTTTGTTATCTTCCATCCCCCCGGGTTCCCCTCCCCACTTTCAGCTGTTAAAGGGAAGGGGGCTGGGCCCCTGTAGCACTCCCCCCCCAACGTCCCTTTCCTGGCTCCCACCATTAAAACTCCTTGTATTGGCTAGTGTCCAGGTTGTATTTTGTCCTCTCTGCGCTGTAATATTTAATTATTATTCAGTTTTAATATTCATACATCCTAGACCTATACACCTTTCCCCCCGTCTCCCTATATACATCCTAGACCTATACACCTTTCCCCCCGTCTCCCTATATACATCCTAGAC